GCATGTGGATATCAGTGTATTCAGGTCTCTCAGATTTACAGAGACGTAATTACAGTAACTGCCATTCTATTTCTAAGCTGAAAGGATTTATGTAGGATTTTAGGATTTAGAGGCTAAAATATTTTAGTTCTGTAGTGTTTATATACACGTGCAAGTATTATTCTACCATCGCTTTTTCAGTAAGTATATCAGTTGCTGTATGTTTTATGTCAACAAAACATTGTTTCTAATGTTTCTACTTTGCTTTACATAGCTTCGGGCTAAAAAAGGGAAGATGTGGGCATTCAGACAACCCAAAGATCAACGCATTTGCAGATGACGGAACCGAGCAGTGGATTGAAACAGGAAGCCAGCAGATGTGGAACCATTTCCAAGGCGAGTGAGTGAGCTTAGTTTAACGCCGCTTTCAGCAATATTCCAGCAATATAACGGCGGGGGACACCAGAAATTGGCTTCACACATTGTACCCACATGAGTAATAGAATCCGAGTCTTTGGCGTGACGAGCAAACGCTTTAACCATTAGACTTCCCAATCGCCCCGGAACCTTTTCCAATCCACAGGTCCACGAACAACCATTGAGGAAGGGTGGCATTCAGGTTTATAACAAGAGGGGCCCAAGTCAACCAAACCTGTTGAAGGTTATCGACTTGATAAAATTAAATCAGAACAGCACCTAAGTCACTTTGATGCAGCTCAAGTGACACCGCCTGCCACCAACGACGAGGTCTAGAGAACACGATCACGTCCTCCAGACCACGAAACACCATCTACTGACAGGGCAGATCACATCAGAACCTTATCATGACACTGTGTCAGAGTATGTTGGACTTTTAGATACGCTATGTCTATTACGTTTGTTTGTTGTGTGAAGCCGCACTCAGCTATACGGCGGCGCTCTGTAAATAATCGAATCTTGACTAGACAATCCAGTGATCAACAGCATGAGCATCGATCTATGCAAGAGCTCTACGATGAAATGTGTCAACCAAGGCAGCGAGTCTGATCAATCGACCCCGTTAGTCGCCTCTTACAACAAGCATATGGTGTGCTGAAGACCTATTTTAACCCGTATCTTCATGGGTTGCCATTATGGAGAGCAAGTATATCTATGTAATATGTTACGAATGCTCCAGGAGTGAAAAGTGGTGTTTCCTTATGCATTTAAATAAAATAACAATCGTTAAGACCAGCCGTTGTGCCAACTATAGTTTCACCCCTGTCCATGCATGACACGCACCCCATGGTTGTACCAACAGTGGCATGGTAAAGCTTCCGTGACAAGCTGCATGGTCAAAATATACCGTTGAATACATTGGGAGAGTGAGTGAGTGTGGTTTTATGCCAACATCACAGTTTGGGGCACCAGAAATCAATGTGACATATTGTACCCGATCGAACTCGGAGTGAGTGAGTGAGTTATTATTTAACGTCACATCGGCAATATTTCAGCCATATCGTGACGAGAACATTTGACATTGTAATAGAATATATATAGTTATTATAAAAACCTGCCGACGAAGGACAGTAAAAATACTAGACAATCACAGCTATCAATATAAAACTAGCGAACAAAGCTAAAATATTCCAATTAAAGAAGACAATACAATGTAAAAATGGGCTATAGATCGCCAACAACTGAAGGGAGATCACCATACTAGGAACCATGGGGACTTACATTACTTTTTGCTACCTGCATGGACCCTAGTTGATTTACACCATCCCTTCAGCCATTGGCGACAGAAGAGAAATCTAGCCATAAATTAAAAAACACACTTATTCTACGATTAAAAAGCAGGTACACTTAGATTGACTAAATGCTTTGGGACTTACGTACCCTCTCAGGAGGACAATAATTTTACAATACTTCAACCCCTTTGAGGATACAGCCACTAACAATCTCAGTTGCTAATCTAAACTACCAATAATAAAATATATATCTATTTACAAATCACTCAACAAATCTATTTTTTTAAAATGCAAGAATTAAATGAGAACTGACATTATTAAAAAGATCCTTCAGAGTTTTGGATTTGAAATAGACATCCCTTGTGATGGAATATTCAATACAGTCAAGCAAGACATGCTTGACTGTGATCCTTTCATCACAAGGGATACAAAACGGAGGATCTTCGCCTTTCAATAAATATTCATGAGTATATCTGGTATGGCCAATGCGACATCGTCGCATAATGACCTCTTCAAATCTGGACTGACAACCCAAGTAAGTGTAACCAATGTAGGGTTTTATTGCATGTAATTTATTAATACCTACTTGGGTGTCCCACTTCTTTTGCATTAGATCGCGGATGTATGTTCTAATGCTGGCTTTATAATAAGTGGTGTCACCGATTTGTTGAGGGCTGCCTTAGCAGCAATATCAGCCATCGTGTTCCCAGAAATGCCAACGTGGCTGGGTAACCAACAAAAGACGATGTCGCATTGGCCAGTAGCAAGTTCATTGTACAATTCAATAATTTCTAATAAAAGTGGATGTTTGCAAGAAATATTTTTAATAGCCTGAAGACACGAAAGAGAATCTGAAAAGATGATATATTGTTTATATTTACGGTGTTTATTAATATATTTAAGAGCTGTTAAGATGGCGTTTGCTTCTGCTGTAAATATAGAGCTGTTATCCGGTATTCTAGAAGATATTGTTCGATCCAATGACAGTGGCACATGCCACTGCGCCACCATCCTTGGACCCATCTGTAAATAAGGATTTGTATGTAGTATATTTATTTCTTAATTGACTAAATTCTTGTTTATACTGTAATTCATTTGTTTCTGATTTTTTAAATGTAGTTAATGTTAGGTCAACTTGTGGCCTAACCAATTGCCAAGGCGGAGAAGAAAGAAATCGGGAAGGAGCTATATGTTCTAGCTCAATACCAGCAGCAGAAAGAAAAGGTTTCACTCTTATACCAAGAGGCGGAACAAGAGAAGGCTTCTTGTTATACAGATCTTCATAGAGTGGATTAAAGACACAGTTATATGAAGGGTTTGACTCATTGGAATAAAGTTTTGTAATATACTGTAAAGTTAATTTTATACGGCGTTGTGTAAGAGATGGCTCATCGGCCTCAACGTAGAGACTGTCAATGGGAGAGGTTCTGAAAGACCCAAGACAAAGTCTTAGACCCTGGTGATGGATAGAATCAAGTAGTTTGAGGGTGCTTTTACAGGCCCCACCATATACGATAGAGCCGTAATCAAGTTTCGATCGGACCATTGATCAATACAAATGAAGGAGGGTGATTTGGTCCCCTCCCCACTTTGAACTGGAAACGACTTTCAACAAGTCGAGTGCCTTCAGGCATTTGGCTTTTAGATTTTTGATATGTGGCAGAAAGGTTAAATGCGAATCAAAGATGAGACCAAGGAATTTAGCTTCCTTGACAACTTTGATGGGTGTGCCATTTAATGATAATTCGGGATCTCGAACTCGGAAGTATGGTGTGACGAGTATCAAACAGATCTGCTTCAGCAAGAGAAAAAATGTATCCCAGAGGCATGATGGTCCTTCCGAATTCGAATAACCGACCTCAAATATTTTTATACTGCACACTGGTATTACATTTCTGAAACAAGAGAACCAACATTGTCAATTATCCAACGATACATATTCGATTGTGTGCACAAGGCTAAAATATTGCATTACTGTTTCATTGTGCAAATGTCATGTACGGTGTTAAACATGCGACTGACCAAACGACTTTTGGGTTGTTGTAATGATAATTCACAACCTATTAACCAGTGTGTCACATTCATGTTCGTCATTCCCAAAGCAAATGGAAACAGCTTTCGATGCTTGTCTTTCGTCATGTTTCTGTCAGTTGAAAGAGTTCATTGTAAGTGTGAAGATGGTCCATTGCTGCATTCAATTGATACATCGCTGAAGAAATGTACACCGTAATATAAGAGATCAAAACTATTCAATGATACCAAGATGTATATAGCAATGTTTTCTCGGGTCAGCTTTCATTAAATCATTGTCTTTAGATAATTACAAGGAAACATCCTGGAGGAAGAGGAAAACCGATAATAAACACTGAATAGGGATAAAGTCCAGGTAGAAGGTTAAGGTTTTACATCCTTCTTATAAAGGTCAAGAACGGTTGAAAATACAATCGGAATAATGTAAGACAAAGACATAATTGTGAGAAATGGGGAATTTATTTTAGCAAAAGAACAGTATTTACAGATATAGATAACTCTTAATCGACATATTTCGAGGTAACCATTAGCAGGAATATCTTGAGAAAAGTTCTAAACATAATGATATATACATGTAAATATAAATGGGTTTGGCAAATGACATTGTGAGCGAATCACTAAAAGCCAGTAAAAGCACACTATATGCAATGTACAGCTGTGATGTCTAACCCCGGTGTATTTGGTACTCTGTTGCCCATTTTTTGTTTATGTGCACTGAAAACAATGGAAGGTAACAAAATCGCTTCGACATTACTCTAACTGTAAACGTTCAAACTACTCTATCACCCAGCAGTACAACAACTCTTTATCACACAACATTATACAATATTCTTTATCACATGAAAGGATTGCGATTCTTAATTACCCAGAATATAATTTATGTATCACACAACAGTATAAACTACTCTGTCACATTCAGTAAAAACAGCTCGGCATTACACACCATTATACAATATTCTTTATCACTTGAACGGAGACCTTTTCTTGATTACAGAGAGTATGATCTATGTACCACACAACAGTGTGAACTACCCTTTCGCACAACAGTACAAACAACTCTTTATCACACAACAGTATCAACTTCTTGTGACACATTAGTATAAACGTTTGTTTATTGTGCAAGAGGATAAACATGACTTCAATACACAATGCAAACTTCTTTTCTCTTTATGACTCAGTCTTACAGGCGTCTCTCTCTTATACAACGGTATCTGTTACTATGTATTACTCAATTATTCAATATCACACAACGACCCACACAACATGATACAATAAATGCAAAATAAGGGGGTGAGATTATCCGCAGTTAGTAGACCCTAGATACAGATCGAAGTGAGTTAATCGTGCTTAACGATAAGATTGTTTGGAAATATCAAATACAACGAAACTTTTGTCCCACGTGTGGGGCGGATACACACATACAAACACGCGCGCGCGCACGTATACACACACACACACACTCTCACGTGAAGCATTTTGGGAACAGATTCGGAAACCTATGAACAATTAAAAATAGGTATATCTTGAATTTGAATGTGAATGTTGATCATAATACAGTCAGCAGTATTTAATATCACTATAGACAACAAATGACGGAATCTGTAAAAAAGGAAACAACCAGTGATACAAACTGTCTTCGCACTGTGACTTAATTTCTCAGATGACATTATTGCAGCAAGTCAATGATCTGTGACGTAAGCATGGAATTCTTCGTTGAACAAAACACAAAATTTATATTCAAGAGATGCATTAGAGCATTGTCCTTACCATAACGGTTATTCTATTTGTGTATCTACCTCACCGTATGTATCTGGGAATATATCAGTTGCTGATGGCCTCTCCAAGTTTCACCCAAAATATTACCTGATCCTCGGCATTATCAGGGTATTCCAGGTAAGAGTCCGACCTCATCAGATACAGCAACTCTCTGGGTACATCCGCAGCTGAGACGTCTTCGATTTTGACAACGATAAGGACACTTCTGGAGTCGTACACTGCTTCCATTCTAGCCATCTCAAACTCATAGCGACACCAGTGACTCGCAAGGAAACTACCTGATAGTATCAAGACGGTGTGCCTGCTGGTCTGAACAGATTTAACAATATTTGCACCGATGGGTTCTCCAGGACGAAAGTCCCGATGGTGGACAACGAGGCGTTTCCCTTGACCCTCAAGATTGTTACACAATGTGTCGATGAAGTCTCGATCTTCACTGGCATAGGAAATGAAAGCATCAGATATAAACTGCCGCTCGACATCATCCTGATGTCTAAGTAGATTATACCGATCCCTTACCATATAATAGAAATACGTTATTCTCCATCGATATCTGTAGATCAGTCCAAGTACAGTGATTGACAAGAAAAATGTAATAGAACATATTCCTCCAATGACAACACCAGCGAATGATTTGCAAGCTTCCCTTTTTGTATTTATTGTATCTTTGTTCAGAGGCACAAGTTTGCTGGATTCATCAACGCATGCGTAAGTTTTGAAATTTTGAAAATTGACTTTCGTTTTCAATATCCACTCCAAAAAGTCAATATTGTCACAAGAACAGTCTAAAGGGTTATCTGACAGATCAATTGTTAGGCGATTCGTCTTGTCCATTGCATCAAGCATATCACGGGTTGATTTGGCAATGTACCTTATTTCATTCATCTGTAGGTTTATCAATGTTAGGTTTATATTTCCCACGTCTAACTCGAAATTTGATATTGCATTCTGGCTCAGATTCAAATTCGTCAGATTTCTATTATTTTTGAAAAACGTTGGATGCAAAGTACGGAATCTGTTTGCAGACAGATCAAGGTTTTCAAGTTTTGTGAGTGAACTAAACACTCTTGTGGATTTGGAGTGAGTGAGGGCATCTCCCAAATAGTTATTGGAAACATTCAAAAATCGAATGTTCATTAAGGTATCGAAAAAAGTGACACTTACTTTTGAACAATAATTTGTTGACAAGTCAAGTATTGTTAAATTTTGCAGTCCATAAACAGGCCCCCACCAGTAAGAAATCCCGTTTTGGGACATATCTAGTGATTTCAGAATATTTGGTTTTGAAAAGTAGACCGATGGTATTCCAGCGTGTATGATCGTATTTCTGAGGACAAGTTTCTCAACATTTGGAGGTAATGGAAAAGACGGTATCCAAGGAATCCCATACATTCTCTTGTCCACACTTAGAAACTTGGAATGACCAAATACATTGTCACTGAGATCTACATACATTAATCCTGTCAGTTTATTTAACTCAAAAATGTAATGGCCAAAGGTAAATTTATTGTCACGAAGAGATAGGAATTTCAAACTTGGTGGGAAGTAGTCCAGCGCGCCTGCCTCCACCATTCTCATCTCATTATGATCGACATACAGCTCCTGGACTGACGTATTGTACAAATAACGGAAAATGTCACGGGGAAGGATAACACAAACCGAATATTCTTTGTATATGCTGTTTAACTTAAGGACGCTTATGTGTGTGTCTCTCAAACCATGAAACACGTGTGTTACATTTGAACCGAGTTCTGTGTTTCCGGTCAGATCTAATGTTTCAATGTGTGGGACTTTGGCAAAGGATTCCTCGTGGGCGTCGATGATATGACAGTCGGTCATTCTCAGAAAGGTTATGTTAGGGGTATTGACAAACATGTCTTCCTCAACATAATCGATATAGCATCGCCTAAAATTCAAACGTTTCAAATGGCGCAAGCGGCTAAATCCTAGTCCAAACACGCCATTGGGTAAACCATCGACTGATAATTCTTGTAACTCCTGAAGTTGTCCTATGGCTTTATCAGGGTAGTTACATAGGCCACGCGGGTTTAAGAACCATTCAAGGGCAACATTGTTCCCAATCAGTAGCCTCTGAAGGGATACCAGTCCCAAGAAACACAGTGCAGGGTATGCGTTGTGGGAGAGATTCAGGAAGTTGTATTCAAGATTCAAACTTTCCAAACATCCAAGGCCAGAAAACGAGTGATTGTTAAGTGTTTTGATCTTATTATTGGTCAAATCAAGGTTCTTCAAATTTGCATATTGTTTAAAAGCAAATCCTTCAATGTCCACCACTTTATTACGGGTCATCAACAACGTGGTGATGTTTTCAGGCAATGTTGAAGGAACTGAAGTCAAACCTCTATCACTACAGTTGGCAACTTCTTTGTTCACGTAGCACAGATCAGCACTTGCAATCACAAGTATCTGTATCAGGACGAGGAGATCATGCACAATCTGTGGAAACATAAGCCGTTCCATTTCCTCTGTCACCTGAGAGAGATTAAACACATGTTTAAGCACATCCATAATAATTGCTATTTGCTTTATCTACCTGAACACTCTATGAAGAATTATTGCATTGACAGTTCTAAGTAATGTATTAAATCTGCTTAATACAAATAAGGGGACGGTGGGGTAGTCTTGTGGTTGAAGCGTTCACTCGTCACGCTGAAGACCCTGGCTTGATTTCCCACATGAGTAGAATGTGTGAAGCCCTTTTCTTGTGTCCCACGCATGATATTGCTGGTATACTGCTGAAAAAGGCGTGAAACCTTACTCACTCACTTACTCCCTATGGGGATACCCTTAAGCATGTCTCTGTTTGTAGTATGAAATGGTACCTTAAACATGGTAATATGAATTAGCAACTGCGATTGTATCCTCAAAAGGGGTTAAAGTATCGTGAAATTATTGTCCTCCCGAGAGGATATGTAAGTCCCAAACACTTTCAAAGTCAATTTCGCACAACCATGCTTTTTAATCGTAGTATTTCTGTTATTTTAACTTTGGACTAAATCTTCCTACATCGCCAGCGGCTGATGGGATGGTGTAAATCAAGCTAGGGTCCATGCAGGTAGCAAAAGTAATGTAAGTCCCCATGGTTCCTAGTATGGTGATCTACCTTCAGTTGTTGGCGATCTATAGCCCGTGTTTTATATTGTATTGTCTTCTTTAATTAAAATCTTTTAGTTTGACAGGCTAGTTTTATTTTCATATATCTGATATTCTAGTATCTTTACTGTCCATCGTCGACAGGTTTTACTCTCCAAAATGTTTTCATTTTTTATTGGATAAATTGTTTTCGTCACGATATGGCTGAGATATTGCCGATATGAGGTTAACTACTAACTCACTCACTCACTGTTTGTAATGTGAAAAGACTTAGGTGTTGATAAGGTGTCATTTAAACACAGATGTGTTGAGGTGGTTGATAAGGTACTATGTACACACCGAGGTGTTGATGTTGTTGATAAGGTGTCATTTATACACAGATGGGTTGATGTGGTTGATAAGGTACTATGTACACACCGAGGTGTTGATGTTGTTGATAAGGTGTCATTTATACACAGATGGGTTGATGTGGTTGATAAGGTATTATTTACACACCAAGGTGTTGATGTTGTTGATAAGGTGTCATTTACACTCGGATGTCGTTGATAAGGTATTATTTACACACTGAAGTGTTGATGTGCTTGTCTAGGTGTCATTTACACACGGATATAATGGTGTGGTTGATAAGGTGTCAGTTACACTCGGAGGTGTTCATGTGGTTCATAAGGTGTCATCTACACACGGATGAGGTTGATTAGGTGTTATTAACACATGGATGTGTTGAGGTGGTTGATAAGGTATTCTTTACACACGGATGTGTTCATGTGGTTGATAAGGTGTGATTTACATACGGATGTGTTGATGTGGTTGCCTATGTGTCATTTACAAATGGAGGTGTTGATGTGGTTGATAAGGTATTATTTCCACACGGATGTGTTGATGTTATCGATCAGGTACTATTTCCACACTGATATTTTGATGTGGTTGATTAGGTGTCATTTACACGCGGATGTGTTGATGTGGTTGATAAGGTGTCTTTTACACTCTGAGGTGTTGATGTCGTTGATAAGGTGTCATTTACACATGGTTAAATGTTGATGTGGTTGATAAGGTGTCTTTTACACTCTGAGGTGTTGATGTCGTTTATAAGGTATTATTTACTCCCTGAGGTGTCGATGTGGTTGATAATGTGTCATTTACACAGGGATGTGTTCATGTGGGTGATTAGGTGTCATTTACACATGTCTTGACTGCATTGAATATTCCATCACAAGGGATATCTATTTCACATCCAAAACTCTGAAGGATCTTTTTAATAATGTCAGTCCTCATTTAATTATTGCATTTTTAAAAAAAATAGATTTGTTGACTGATTTGTAAATAGTTAAATATTTTATTATTGGTAGTTTATATTAGTAACTGAGATTGTTAGTGGCTGTACCCTCAAAGGGGGTTGACGAAGCGTAAAATTATTGTCCTCCTGAGGGGGTACGTAAGTCCCAAAACTTTCAAAGTCAATTTAAGTATACCATGTTTTTAATCGTAGAATATGTGTGCTTTTAATTTATGGCTAGATTTCTCTTCTGTCGCCAATGGCTGAAGGGATGGTGTAAATCCAACTGGGGTCCATGCAGGTAGCAAAAGTAATGTAAATCCCCATGGTTCCTAGTATGGTGATCTACCTTCAGTTGTTGGCGAACTATAGCCCATTTTTTACATTGTATTGTCTTCTTTAATTGGAATATTTTAGCTTTGTTTGCTAGTTTTATATTGATATCTGTGATTGACTAGTATTTTTACTGTCCTTCGTCGGCAGGTTTTTATAATAACTATATATATTCTATTACAATGTCAAATGTTCTTGTCACGATATGGCTGAAATATTGCCGATGTGACGTTAAATAATAACTCACTCACTCACTCCCTCATTTACACATGTATGTGTTGATGTGGTTTATTCGGTGTCATTTACACACGGGGTGTTGATGTGGTTCATACGGTCTCATTTACACGCTGAGGTGTTGATGTGGTTCATTAGGTGTCATTTACACACAAATACGTTGATGTGGTTCATAAGGTGTCATGTACACACGGATATGTTGATGTGGTCGATAAGGTGTCATTTACACACGGATGTGTTGATGTGGTTGATAAGGGGTCATTTACACTCGGCCAAATCGTTTCAAGTTAGTCTTTGTGAATGTGAAAGAAGTGCTGGTCTGCAGAACGAAGGACTCTGGACGGTTTATACACTTGTGTGAGTTTGACAAGATATGATGGGGCTGATCCATGGTAACATAGGTATGCCAATACCAATAGCTTGAACTGCAAACGTGCCTGTACAGGGAGCCAATGTAAATTGATGAGCACAGGTGTTATTTGCGCGGCGGACTTCTTTGTCCTGCACACAATCCTTGCCGCCATGTTCTGTATCCTCTGTAGTCTGGAGAACTGATCCTGTGAGATGTTAACAAACATACTATTACAGTTGTCCAGTTTTGGTAGGACTCAGCTTCTGACCAGCATGGGAGCGGCGTTAATGGTCAGGAGATGTCTGATACTGCCAACATTTCTCAAATGAAAATGGCTTGCTTTGCAAATCTGCTAACATGATGCTCCATTGTCATTAACACACGGATGTGTTGATGTGGTTGAATAGGTGTCATTTACACACGGAGGTGTTGATGTGGTTGATAAAGTGCCATTTACACATGGATATGTTGATGTGGTTGATAAGGTGCCATTTACACACGGATATGTTGATGTGGTTGATAAGGTGTCATTTACACACGGATATGTTGATGTGGTTGATAAGGTATCATTTTCACATGGAGGTGTTGATGTGGTTGATTAGGTGTCATTTACACACGGAGGTGTTGATGTGGTTGAACATGTGTCATTTACACACGGAGGTGTTGATGTGGTTGGTAAGGTGTCATTTACACACGGAGATGATTGTGTGGTTGATTACGTATAATATACACACTTATGTATTGATGTGGCTGATAAGGTGTCATTTGTAGTCGGTTAGGTTTATGGTGTTGATCAGTTGTCTTTTACACACAGATGTGTTGATGTGGTTGTATAGGTGTCATTTATACATGGAGGTGTTGATGTAGTTCACTAGGTGTAATTTACACACGGCGGTGTTGATGTGGTTGATAAAGTGCCATTTAGACACGGAGATGTTGATGTGGTTCATTAGGTATAAAATGCTCGCATGTCTTGATGTGGTTGATAAGGTATAATTTGTACTGGGGCGTGTTGATGGTGTTGATAAGGTGTCATTTACACATGGAGGTGTATATGTGGTTGATTTGGTGTCATTTACACACAAAGGTGTTGATGTGGTTCATTAGGTGTCATTTACACATGGGTGTGGAGGAGCTGATGTGGCCGATTAGGTACAATATCTTCACGGATGTATTGATGTGGTTGCTTCGGTGAGATTTACACACGTGGGTGTTGATGTGGATGATTAGGTGTCATTAACATACGGAGGTGTTGATGTGGTTGGTAAGGTGTCATTTACACACGGAGGTGTTGATGTGGTTGATAAGGTGTCATGTACACACGGAGGTGTTCATGTAGTTGATAAGATGTCATTTTTAATCGGATGTGTTGATGAGGTTGATTCGATGTCATGTATTTACACTCAGATGTGCTGATATGGTTGATAAGGTGTCATTTACACGGGGATTTGTTGGTGTGGTTGATAAGGTGTCATGTTTACTCGGATGTGGTTGATTAGGTGTCAATTACACACGGAGGTGTTGAGGTGGCTGATAAGGTATTATTTACGCACTGAGGTGTTGATGTGGTTGAATAGGTGACATTTACACACGTATGTGTTGATGTGATTAATCAGGCGTAGTTTAGACAAAGAGGTATTGATGTGGGCCATTCGGTATCATTTCGACACGGACGTGTTGATGTGTTTTATTAAGTGTAATTTACACCCGGGGATGTTGATGTGGTTCATTAGATGTCATTTACACATGGGTCTGGTTGAATAGGTGTCATTTACACACGGAATTGTTGATGTGGTTGATAAGGTGTCATTTACACACGGATATGTTGATGTGGTTAATTAGGTGCCATTTAGACACGGAGATGTTGATGTGGTTGATTAGGCATAATATGCACACGGATGTATTGATGTGGGTGATAAGGTCTTATTAGACAATCAGGTGTTGATCTGATTCATTTGGTGTCATTTACACATCCATGTGGTTGGTGAGGTGTCATTTACACACGGAGGTGTTGATGTGGTTGTTAAGGTGTCATTTAGACTCGGATATGGTTGATTAGGTGTCATTTACACACGGAGATGTTGAGATGGCTGATACGGTATTATTTACGCACTGAGGAGTTGATGTGGTTGATAAGGTTCGATTTACACACGGATATGTTGATGTGGTTCATTG